TCCCCAAAACCCCAAAACCCCAAAACCCCTCTCCTCATGAAATTATTGAAATACATTGTAATAATATTAATTAAAAACAATGAAGAATCAATGGATGAGGCCCAATTTGGCATCTAATACTTCGAAAGAGATAGACAAGTATTTGACTATTCAGCAGCCTGATACAACGAAGGAGGACGGAGCTGATGAAGGCACTGAAAAATTAGATTACCTCCTCTTTAGCAAATTGTGTGGTAATTTTGAATACGAAGATTGGATTCTCAATGTATTGTAAGTTACTGATAGCTTTAGGATTTTAATTTTGTGTAGCACGAATCCTGATGGATCTCAGAATGAGATTGCAGATATCACAGAGATTGATTTACTCAATACCTTGTCAAGGCTTGATAAGGTCAAAAGAGAAGCAGAGGGTGCGTTAGATAAGAAAAGGGAGAAATAAGATGCATACTATTCAAGCAATCAATAGAAAAACAGGGAATATATATTTAGGTAAAGTTGAAGCTTTATGCCCTTATGATCAAAATCGGAGTTGAATTCCAAGGAGAAGAAGTGAGCTCTTAACTTATAAAGAGAACATTGAGCTACAAAAATATCAAGAAAGAATGGGTATAAAGCCTCCACCCATCTCTCAACCTTCACTAAATCAAATCCAGGCTCCTACCATTCCGCTTTCTACTACTCAAACAAGACCAATTGGAATACCGATAAGAACTCCTGCAACTCCTTCGCTCTCAAAGCAAAGGACATTCGAGTATAAGACTCCTTCTCATATTCCGCAAGGAGCACATACCCAGCAGCAGCCAGGGGCTGCTGCTGGGAGTCTAGGCTATTATCAGACGTCAGGAGGAGTACCATCAACACCTAAACCGAGACCTGTTGAATTTCCAGGGATGTATTTACCTCCTCCTTCCCATGCTAGGCCTGCTCCTGCAGTCACTGCTAAACCCTCGAAAAATAAGAAAGGTCTCTCTAGATGGTTTGGCTTTGCTTAGAAGTAATTCTCAGTAATAAAGAGTTAAATTTTGGTAAGGCTTTTAATAAATTTCAATTTTTGAGGTTGAGGTAGGGGTTTTGGGGTTTTGGGGTTTTGGGGTTTTGGGGTGTTGGGGTGTTGGGGTGTTGGGGTTTTGGGGTTTTGGGGTGT